AACAAAAAGCAGACGACGTAATTTTAAAAACAAAAAGCAGACGACGTAGTTTTAAATCAAAAAGCAGATGACGTAGTTTTAAAACAAAGCAGACAACATAGTTTAAAACAAAAGCAGAAGACGTAGTTTGAACAAAAAAAAAGAACAAGAAAAATTAATTAATGTTTTTTTTTTTTACATAACAATTATTATTAATTTTACCTTCTTCATGTTAAAAAAAAAAATTAATATTATTTTCACGGTTTGTTTTTTCATGGTTGCCAACCTACTTTTTTTTTATTTAATTTTTCTTCTGCTTTTTTTTTTATTTACTATTAAAATTCATGACGACAAGAAATAAATAAATAAATAAATTTTTTTTTCTTATACTAAATAGGTTTTACTAATTAATTTTTTTTTTTTTTAATTCGGAATGCATTTTGTTTTTTTTTGTTTTAATTTATTTAAATTAATTAATTCATTTCTTTTTAATTATTATTAACTTTTTTTTATTTATTTAAATAATAATAATAATAATAACATTCGTTCATTACTCTTTTGCATCTCGACTGGAATTTTTCTTTTCTTTTTTCTTTTCTGTTTTTTTCTTTTTTTGTTTTCGTTCTTTGGAAAAATATTTTTCCAGTTACGAAAATTTTTTTTTTTTAAACTGGAGAAAAATAAAATTCCACGTTTGTTTGTTTGTTTTCTCTTTACTTTTTCAATGTTTTTCTTTTTTTTTACAGTTGAATGTCTTTTAAATTTTACTTCGCGTTAAATGTCTTTTTAAACGAATTATTTTTTTTATTTAAATACGGAAATACTTCCGGTTGTTATTCGAAACGATTCGAAAAAGAAAATTCTATAAAATCTCCTGGAAAAATTAAACAAACGGGAAAATTTTTTTTCAAAATAAAATTTCAACGTTTTAAAATCCATTGAAATAAATAAAGGTAAAACAACAGCAAACAACTTTAAAAAAAAAAAAAAAAACAAAAACAAATCGTAAACGCGTACACATCTAATAATAATAGTAATAAACGAATTATAGAAGAAAAACAAACAGGCAAACAAACAAACAAATAAACAAACGAAAAAAAAGAAAAATTATTTTGTGAATTTTCATTTTTTTTTTTTTTATACAATATTTTAATTTTTTTTATTTTTCTTATGCATACACACGCAAAATCGTCTGTTAAACAAACAAACAAACAAGCAAACGAATGTTTTATTCATTACTTACTGAAGTTTTAAAAAAAAAAAAAAAAAATTTATGTATTAATTCAATTCTTCGTCGTGAACTATGAATAAGTTTTAAGTTTAAAAATTTAAATTTAATTTTAATCTTACACAAATGTTCGTTATTTTTTTAAAATTCCGCCATTTTGAAAAAAAAAATTTTTTTCCGTTAAAATAATGATGATAAGACGATCGCATCGGCAAAAAATAAAAATAAAAAAGTTTTTGTTTTAAATACTTAAAAAACTTACTAAAAACTCGATTGAGATTATTATTAAGTTTGTTTTGTTTGTTTTATTTGTTTGTTTGTTTGTTTGTTTATTTATTTATTTGTTTATTAATTCATTAAAATAATTAACAAAATTTTATCTTTTCAAAAATGTTTATTCAAGTAAAATTATTTTAAATTTTTTGCTTTTTTTTTTTCTTTTTCGAGTAAAGGTTAGAGAGAGAGAGAAAAAGAGAGAGGGAGAGGAGGAGAGGGGGTGAGGGAAAGGAAGAAAGAGTTTTTGCGTTTAAAAAAAAATAGCAGACGAAAAAAATATTACTAAAAAAAAAAAAAATTATAAACAAATAAATATATTTTGTTTTAGTGGAAAATTTAATTTTTTAAAATAGAATGAGTTAGACCGAGAGGGGGGGGAAAGGGAGGGGGAAAGAGAGATAGAGAGAGATGAAGAAGAATGTTTTTTAAGTTGTAAAAAAAAAAAATATCGAATGGCTGGATAATAAAAAAAAAAGTTGCGAATGTAAACAAATAAAAAAAGTTTTAGGTTAATATAAAGATAATAAGACGCGGAATTTGAAAAAAAAAAAAAAAAAAAAGTGGCAGTAGATAAAAGAATAATATTTTTTTTTTTTTATGTTTCGGTTATAAAAAAAAAAAAAAACTTAAAAATAATTTTACATTATTATTTATTAAATAAATTTTTTTTTTTACCATGCGCAAAAGTTTAATTATATAAACATAAATTTGGTCATAGAGAAAGAAAAAAAAAAGGCATAGAGTAAGAAAGAAAGAAAGAAAAAAAAAGAAAATTTGCCTCGAGAGATTTTTTTCTCTAAAGGATAATGGAAATAGGTAAAAAAAAAAAAAAAGTTATGAAAAACAAATTTTTAAATTTGTTTGAAAAATTCATATCAACATTTGTATCCTGATTTTTCGTTTCTTTTTTTTTTTTTTTTTTTTTTTTTTTTTTCTAGAACGAATTGAAAAAAATTTTTGAAAATTTTTTCTTTTTTTTTTTTTTTTTTGAAAAAGTTTACATTTCAAAAGTTGTAACCATTTTTTTTTTTTTTTTCATTTAAAAATTTCATTTTTCTAATACTTTTAACATATTTTTAAAATATTTAAAGAAAATTTTTTCATCGCGTACTCTTTCTCTCTCTTTTTTCCCTATTTTTTTTCTTGTATTTTTGTTGTCGCTTTGTTTGTTATTTACCTTTTTTTGTCTTTCTCTTTCTCTTTCTCTCAACATCATTTTTTTTATTTTACGTCTTGTTTTCATTCTTTTTTTAATATTTTAAAACTTTGTAATTTCCTCTTTTTCTCTCTTTGTTTTTCTCATATTTCTTAGTTTTTTACTGTTTTAATCTCTTTCTTCTTTTTCCCTCTTTCTCATTTTCTCCTTTTACGTCGTATTTTTCACATCTTTTTTTTTTAATTTACTATCTGTTCTCTCTTTTTTTTTCTTATTTTATTTCTCTCTCTTATTTTCTTATTTTTTCTTTCTCTCTCTCTCTCTAATTTTCTTTCTTTATTTTGCATTCTATTTCTCTCTTTTTTTTCTTTTTACTCTATTCGAATTTATTTTCTTTTTCTGTCTTGCTTCTTTTTGCTTTATCCTGTCTCTCTCTCTTTCTTTTTCGTTTTACTACACTCAGTATTTTGTTTCTCTCTCTCTTTTTCTGCTTACTTTATTCCGCATTCTCTTACTTTCTTTCTCTTTCTCTTTTTTCTATCCTGTTTTTCTCCATTTCCACTTTTTAACTTGTTAACCACTCTATTAAATTTTTTTTTCCTTTGCTCTCATTTTCGAAATTTTTTCATTTTTATTTTCACTCATTTTCTCTCGTTTTCTCTCTCTCTCTCTCTTTTTTTTTTTTATTATAATTAAGTTAATTATTTTAACCAAAAAGTTTTAAAATCATTAGGAAAAAATTGTCAATTTTTTTTTTAATAAAATAATTTAAATTTAATTAACGAGTGGGGAGAAAGTAAAGGTAAACGTAATTTTTTCACTTTCTCACACTCTCTCCACTTCCGTTTCCGTTTAAAATTTTTTTTTTTTCTCAAACGAGTAAAAAAATAAATAATAATATTATTATTAATTTTAAAGTTATTTGATGCAAAAATTTAAAAAAGGTATTTTACCGTTTTACCGTTAAAATATTAAACAATAAACAATAAAAAAAAAATGGATGGAAAAACCGTTAATGCATTTTAGTTTTTTTTTTTTTTTATTACTTTCGCTTTACAATTTAATATCAAACGATTTCCGTTTCCGCTTTTCAAACGAACTTTCATAATCGAAAAACTAATAATAATAATATTTTCTTTTACGGTCAGATATTCGATAAATTCGTCGGTGGGAAAAAATACGTTTTCTATCCATTTTTTATCGAATACATCAAAAAAGAAAGTAAATGTGATTTTATATATAAAAATCTATATATCTAAAGCCACGATTCTCTCATCAATTGAAAATTATTGACACGGACACTTCATTTATTTCTTTTTTTTTGTTTCTCCAGCATAAGTAATCGATTTTATATAAATCCACGAAAGAATCATGAAAACTCTTTCGAAACATTTAAAAAAAAAAAAAATTTTCATTTTTTTTCATTATTATTATTATTATTATTTACTTTTTTTTTTGTAATTTCGAGTGACTTTGTCTTCTGCCACGACGTTTTTTTTCCTTTTCTTTTCTCTCTCTTATTTTTGCCTTCGGTGCAATTTTTTTTATTTTTGCCTTAAGTCACGAATTTTTAACAAATAAAACAACAATTTTTTTTTTACTTTTTACACGTCAAAATCAGCAAGTAGTGGAAGCAGAAAAACAGAAAACAGAGCCAGACAGAGACTTGATAAATGAATTTAAGACAAGTTAAGAAATAAATTTTTTGATAAATTATCGTAATAAAATTACGAGTAAATTTTCTTTTTTTTAAAAAAAATATTTATTCTCATTTATTTTAAATAAAAAAAAACCCTACCCTTAACTTAATAATAATAATAATAATAATAATAACGATAATGATAATAATAATAATCGAAACTGTTTAACTGTTGAAATTTTTTTTTTTTTTATTTAAGGTCTGCCATTTTAAATATATTATTAATAAAAAAAAGAAACCTTAAGCGTAAAAAACCTTAGAAATTAAAAAAAAAAGAAAAATTTCTTTCAACTTCCGGTTTGATTTCATTCTACTCTCTCTCGTGCATAATTTTCCTTCGGGGTTTTTCCTCCCGTATTTAAAATTATATTAACATTAAAATTTTCAAATCCTTGTAGAAAATTTCTACATAACTACTTAAAATCTATTTAAAGTTTCGTAAAATTTTCTTATAAATTATTATTATTATTATTATTATTATTGTGAAATGATGTTTTAAACGTATCATCATAATCATTATTATTAATATTAGAAAGTTATTAAAAATGTTAAATCCTCCTTTTCGAATATATAAATAAATAAATAATTAGTCGGTTTGAAAATTATTAAGTTATTAAATTACGAAACTAATAACGTTATCAACGATTGATTTTATTTTCAAAATGGCGGATTTATTTATTACCTATTACACATCATTTCAAAAACATACGTGAAACTTTTTTTTTTTTTCATACAGGAATTTTATTTTTAACGAGGGATTTAAAAAAAACACGTCACGTGACTTAATTGTTTTGTTTTGTTTTTTTTAGGAAAAGTGAAGAAAAAATATGGAAATCTCGGAGATACTATATTAGTGATTAATTTAGAAAAAAGTCATAGAGGTTTAGGAATCAGCCTTGCAGGTCATAAAGATAGAAATCGAATGGCCGTTTTCGTATGCGGTATCAATCCAAATGGTCCAGCATTTAAAACGGGAGGAATCAAAGTTGGAGATGAAATTTTAGAGGTTTGTACATCTTTTTTTTTAAACCACGCAAACGTTTGTTGTTTGTTTGTCGTCCGTTATAAAACAACCGAAAAAACTTTCACGAAAACAAAAAAACAAAATACGCGAAATCAATTCCGAACGTTAACGACCTTTCCCCCCTTCCCCCCTCTTAGCTTTAATAAGGAAATTATTGTAATGAATATGACGTCATAATTTAAAATGAATGATCGAAAAACAATGTTTCAATGACGTCACGTTAAATTCGTGCGTCATTTTCATTGATTGTCAATTTCCGTTAATTATTTTTTTTTGACATATAACAATCATTCCTCATTTAAATTTCACTTTTTTTTTTTTTTTTGGTTTCTATTGACACCTGATCGGTCGACTGCGTAATTAATATTATCATTATTATTATTATTAATTTTTTTTCCAACGAATTGTTTTTATTTATAAAAATGGCGGATGTTCGAATCATCAACATCGTCGTTGTCGTCATCAATCTCTCTCTCTCTCTCTCTCTCTCTCTCTCTGATTTAATTTCAATGAAAATATTTGAAATTTTTTTTTTTTTTTAAATTCTTCTGACACGTTTGATAATTGACTGTTTATATCGTTTGAATATTTATTTTAATGTTTATTATTATTATTATTATTATTATTATTAATAGATTTTGAATTTTTTGTTGTCATCGATTATTAATTATTGATTGATTGATTGATTCATGTGTGTGAGAGCTTTTATGGGGAGAAAGGAAGGAAGAGGGGAGAGGGAGGAGATAACAAATTAGTCAAACGATGGAGAAAAATAAACGAACCGGATTAAAAAAAGTTCTGGAAATGGGGAGAGGTGAGAGGAGGAGGAAGGGATAGAATTGGGGAGAAGAAAGGAGAGGGGAGGAGGAAAGGAGGGGGCTAAAAATTTGAGCGGAAAAATTTTTTTGCTGCCACTGTGAAAAATTTCAATTCATTGTTTTTTTTTTTTTTTTTTAATAATTCGGTCATAATTAAATTACTTAATTAATATTCGTGGAATTTTATAAATGACGTAAATTTTCCGGTTTTTTCACTTCCGGTTTTCTATCCTTTTCTCTCTTGTATAAATACAATTCTAAAATAAACGAAAGTTTTAAATACACCTCAGTGTGCATAAAATTTTTATTTGTTTTCCAGGTGAACGGTATCGTACTCCAGGGAAGATGTCATTTAAACGCATCCGCCATAATAAAAGGATTGCCTGGACCAACGTTCAAGGTCATCATACTCCGGTAAGTTTTCTTTTTTTTTTCTTATTTCCGGAAAAGGAAATGAATTTGAAAACGATTCGCACGATTTAAATTTTTCAACCTTGAATTTTATTTTTTTTTTTGGCACTCGAATGATAAAAATTACCTGCGTTGCAAGGTTAATGCCACGATTTAAACTAAAGTACAAAAAAAAAATTATTAAAAAAAAAAAAAAATCTGTTGTTGTTACGTGAGAGTAATAATAAAATTTGGAGAAAAAAAAAAAAAATTAAGAGAACGACGAAGATGACATGTTCGCCATTGAAGTGTCATCAGAAATAGATTTTGACAGATATAATCAAAATGGAAATGTGCCAAAACTCTTTATTTCTTCGCGGTATAAAAAAAAAAAAAAATTTCGCTGACGGTGATGAGAATAATTTTTCCATTTCCCCTCCCCTCCCCCGTCAAATATTTTAAACGTGGCAGTAAATTTCGTGCGTGCGTAAGAAAACATTAACGTTTTTTTTTCTCGATCTTTTTCCCTCCTCTCTCTCTCTCTTTCTCTCTTCTTTTCATTACGCGTTTCGGTCAATTAAAAAAAAAAAAAAAAAAAAAAAAAAAAAAAAAAAAGCAAAAAAATTCATTCGAAAAGTTTTCATTTTCACAATTACACGCGCGTTCACTTTCGATTTCGTTTTTTTTTTTTTTTTAAATTAAGTTTTTTTAATTTTTTTTTTTAATTACGCGTAAGTCACATGATATTCTATATTAATAATAATCATAATAATAATAATAATGCAAAATTTTTTTTTAAATACGATTAAAAAACAAATTTTTTGATTCGTTTTTAACAAAGCGATTTTGTAAAAATTTTAACCGTTTGTTTTTTTTTTTATCGTCGTGGCATTAGTGACAATATTTAGTTTATACGTTTTACAATTGATTTATTTAGTAAGTAAAACTAATTTATTATAAGATAAAGTTAACAAAAGTTAAATACGAAAGGTTTTTCTTTTTTTTTTTTTTTAACAAAATAAATCGAGTTACGGGATTGTTTCTCTCTCCCTCTCTTTCTCTTCTCTCTCTTCTTTTTTTTGTTAAGAAAAAAAAAAGAACTTTTAACTTAAGATAGATTTTTATTTAAAACAAAAAAAAAAAGTAAAAAAAAAAAAACGTCTCTCACCTAATAAAGAAAAAAGATTACAAAGAAAATAAATAAAAAATTATGGAAGAGCTTTTTTTTCGTCTTCTTCTTCTTCTTCATCTTCTCCTCCTTCTACTTCTTCTTTTTTTTCTTCTTTTTTCTTTTTTTTTATATATATTGGAAAACTTTAGTAACTTTTCAACGTAATAAATTATATTTTTTTACTTTTTTTCCTCCCCCCTCTCTCTATCTCTCTTTTTTTTTTCGTATCGTTTTTCTTTTTCTACTTTTTTCTAGTGTTCCCCTCTTTCTCCCCCGCCCCCTCCCCTTTTCTTCCCATTTTAAAAGAAAATATGATTTAATAGGTGTCATTTATTTATTTTTTTCCCGCACACACACACACACGAAGACATAAACGTTGAGTGATGACTTAGACACGCACACGTACACGTTCAGGTGTGAAATTTTACTCGTTTTCTTAGTCGTGACGTCGTTATAATGACGTCACGTTAACTTTATAACAAAAATTATTAAAAAAAAAAAGAAAAACGTTTGAAATTGTAAAAATTTTTTACGCTCACGAACATCGTCGAATTATTATTATTATAGTTAACCTTTTAACCTTTTTCTTTTCGTATTTATTATTTTTTTTTTTTTGGGTCCTTATTTTTGAATTTTCCGCCATTTTTCTTTTTTTTTTAAATTTTCCGTAAGCTATATTCCCGTGTTGATAAATTACCGAATTCGAGATGAGAAAATTTGCAACGTCGTCTTCGTCGTCGTCCTCGGATTCGATCGAAAAACTTTCGTGACGTCATTATTTTCTTTAACTGTGACGTCATCACGAGTAAAAGGCTGTGAAAAACCTTTTACCACGATGATAATATATTAATAAGAGCATGAAATTAATTTGAGGGAGTGTAAAAAATTTTTTTACACGAGAGTGAAAAATAAAAGGAAAAAAAATTGTAGGGGTCGCGAGTTATTTAACAGTAAGTAAATAAATAATAAATGGAATCAAAGGAAAAAGATAAAAGGAAAATGAATGAATGAGTGAGTGAGAGAGAGAGAAGGTTTTGTTACTGACAATTTAATTTTACCTGAAAGGTACTTAATTTGTATTTGCATGAACACCATTTCTAATAATTTTTATTACCTTTTTTTTCTCAAAGGAAAAATTAAAAAAAAAAAAATAAAATTTTCCACTAACTTTTACCATTTACATTTTTTCTTTTTTTTTTTAATGATTAAAAAGAAAAAAAATTTTTTTTTTTGTATTTTTTCTTCGTTTTTTCATTTTTGAAAATTTTCATTTTCTCCAGTTTCCAGAAGAGAGAAAAAAAATAAGAACGGGAAGGAGGAGACAAAGGAAACAAACGTTTTCCTTTTTTTTCCTTCCTTTCTTTCCTTTCTTTTAAGCTTTAAATCAAAAACGATGTAAAGTTTTTTTTTTTTTTTTTTTTTTTCGATTCTTTTGTTAAACTAATGATGACTACACCGTTGTTCGTGCGCTTCCATCTTTTTCCACGACAGTTATTTTCTTTTTTTTTGTCTTCTGCTTCTTCTCGTACTAACAAACATTTTTTTTTATTTCCGACAAGCTAAAAGAAAAAAATTTAATAATAATAATAATAATAATAATAATAATTTTTTTTGGATTCGAAAACAAATAATAATTCGATTGAACGTTTTCCAACGGTTTCAAATCGTTTCCGGAACGTGAAAACAATAATAAAAAAAAAAAACGAACGTGATGATCAGGTAGTTTGTTGTTACGAAACATTTGTTTGTTGGCGAACGTTTAAAAAAACGAGAGAGTTAATAAAACAAACGCAAAAATAGAAAGAAAGATGAAGACGTTCATATGGAAAAACGAACGTGGCGTAGGCAGGGAGTTTGTTAGGGTTATGGTTGGTTGTAACGTAATATTTATTAAACAATTTTTTAATGTTGAAAAATGTCGAAACAAACAAAATCGAAACAAACGAGGGAGGGGAGGGAGGGGGGAACACGTAGGCGTTGTTTAAAAATTTTTTCGAATGAGTCCAAAGTAAGTAATAATAAATTTTTATTACTTTCGAATTTTTTACACGTTCGGGATGTTCCGGATTTTTTTTTTTTCAAATTTAAATTTATAGTCGAGAAAAAAAAAGTTTTTTCTTTTATTTTGCGGTTGTTGTTGTTGTTTGTTGTTTGTTGTTGTTGTGCGATTCGAATCATACGCGGTTAACGAATCCAATTGTGATATTTTTTAATTTTCACACGTGGTTAAAAGAAAATTAAAAAAAAAATTATTACGTAAGTTAAAAAAGGTTAATTTTTTTACGAAAAGGGAGAGGGGGAAGCCCCCTCTTCCTCCCTACCTCGTGTTTCCCCTTCATTACTTCCTTCCATCGAACAATAAGAGTTTCCGGAACTTTCTTTCTTTCTCTCTTTTTCGCGAATTCAATTATGAAATAAAATTTTTTTTTTTTTTGTTAAAATTTCGATGGATTCATTTATTAATAACAACAAAAAATGAATTATTTATTAACTTTTTATTAACCAAAGAAAATTTTTTGTTTTATGTACATAACCGAAAGTTTTTTTTTTCTTGAGTGTGGGAGAAATAAAAAGTTTTTTTTTCCGGTTAAAAACATTTTTTTTTCTGTTTTGAATATTTAAAAATAATATAAATATTGATAATGGAGGTGATAAAAGATAAAAACCAAAAAAAAATTTTTCCTGTATAAAAAAAATTCGTCGGGAAAAACTATGAAGAAATAATAATGATGATGATGATGATGATGTTGATGATGATGATAATGATGATGAATACATTCAATCTCACGCCGTTCTTTTTTTTTTTTTTTGTATTTTTGTAATTTTGTTTATCGCATCCGAATATTTTTCGATTGATTTCTATAGAGAATTAACGCGTGTTGTTTTATCTCTCTTTCTCTCTTTCCCCCCCTCTCTCTCTCTCTTTGTGTTTTATTTTTCTTTCCTCTTTTCTCCTTCTTTCTTTTTACTTCCTTTTTCTTTCTCTCTTTTTCTCTGTTTTATTTTTTTCTTTCTTTATTTCTCTCTCGCTTTTTCTCTCTTTCTTCATTTCCCCGTTTATTTTTATCTCTCTCTCTCTTCTGTTTCTCTCTCTTTTTTTTAAATCTATAAAAGAAAAAAAAAGAGAGTCGAATGAATGCGTGTCCTTAATCGATTTGATGAAACTTCACCCAGTTTTTTTTTTTTTTTACTTTTTATTTCTTCTTTCTCGCTGACACAATCGAAAATCTATTGAAATCCAATACGAAAAAATAAACTTGTACAATGGATTGTTTGAATAGTTTTCCCCCCTTCCCTCCTCCCCGAATTCCCTTTTCATCCCCTTTCCCCTCCCTCTCCCTCTCTCTCTCTTAAATTCCCTTTTAAAAAATTATAAAAATTCAATTTTATTTTTCTTTTTTTTTTTCCGAACTGAACTAAAATAAAAACGTTAACCTTTTATTTATTAACTCGACAAAAAAAAATTCAAAATAATAATAATAATAATAATAATAATGATTTTTTTTTTATTCTGGAAAAATGAACGAAATGAAAATAAATTTTAATTTAATTTTGATTTATCTGGAAAATCTGAAAATGTCAGATAGACGACGAATTTAATAATAAATACGAAAAAATAAAAAAATAAAATAAATAATTTAATAAGATTTATTTATTCGAAAATTTTCTTTTTCGTATTAAACCAAGTGTAAAATATTTTGTTGCAATTTAAGAAATGGAAAAAAAGGATGGGGGGAAAAGGGGGAACAAGAAAATTCGAGAAAATTTTCTGGTGTAACGGGAAAAAATCTAAATTTATCAAACGGTACGCTTCGTTAAAAAAGGTTTTTTCGAAATTGGAAATGATGATGAG